AAAAAGCTGAACATATGTGCCCATGGAAAGGTCATGGCGTAGTGTAGATTTCAAAATGTCTAAATTATGATCAGTGGGGTAGGGTGGGGATGCATTATGTATAACAAGGGGGAAATCTGGTAAAGAACAGAATGGTCAAAGCTTCTCAGGTGAGCGATGTGGCCCATGGGCCTCTTGTTTATCAAGATCATTCATCTTGGTGTTCATTTGATTCATCTTGTTATCCAGAGCAGACAGCATGTTCACAATCCCATCCAGAGTTGTATTTAATATGCCCATATCTTCTTTATTTATGTCCTCATGAAAATTATACATGTCCAAATTCAAATCCAAATCCAGTGCATCCTTTATTAACTCTGGCATGGGAGCTCCTACATATCCTTCAGGTGTCACATAATACTGGGAATTTTCTGAGGTATTCATCATTACTTCCTATTTTTTTTCACCTCTGTCCAGTTTTGAAAAATGTCAACTAAGACTGATCTTTTAAATTTTACAGTTTTTTGCTTTATATACCTGCTGTGGGGGCCGTGTGCACCTTTGACCTGGCTTTTTATACCTGTTGCATCATCTATAAAGGGCCGTGTGCAAAAATTAGGGGGGCGTGTGCACCTTTGACATGCGTTTTCGATACCTGTTGCATCACCTGTAAGGGGGTCGTGTGCAAAAAAAAGAAGAAATATACGTTTTACCTACGTTTTACACGAGGGTATAAAAATGAGAATAAAAAGTAAAAAAAAAAAATAATTTTTACTGTGACAGGACATAGATGCGATGAAAAGAAAAAAAGTATGTATTCAATACGGAATGAAATACCTGGAAATTTCACACAGGTTAAGAAAACCAGTGACTTTTAATACCAAACCTCAAGAAATCAAAATCTACGAATTAATAGGCCCCACCGAAGACCAGAGAGGTCCTCCCCCCCCCTGGATGCAATGAGTGGCCGATCGAAATACAATTCCCGCAGGAAAATTTTACAGTTCAGAAAGTTTTTGTTTAGTTTTTAAGAAATAAAATTAAAATCATTTAAATATCACTGTTATGTGCTTGTATAACGTCATCTTTTATACACTCGGTTTCGGGTTCCCCCCTGAATTTTGCTTTGTCACTGTGGTGGCGCTGTTTCCTAAAGCAATTTTTTTGTGTTAGCCAATCACATGTGATCACATGATTGATTATTGATGTTGCCGCCATATTGAACTACTGTGAAATCACAAATTTTCGTGGGGGTTTAATTTTCGTTGTTTTCGAGGTATGAAGAGACCACGAATTCATGACCATCACGAAATGTAAAATGTAACATACATATCTACTGAACAATTCTATATCCACGAAATCAAATCCCTACGAACCAAGAGTTTTTCCTCAAACCACGAAAATATGACCCCACGAAAATATGTGATTTTACAGTATGGTCTGCATTTTCCAAAAGCGATTTTTTTTGTGTTAGCCTATCACATTTTTGAATCACGTGATGGATTGTTGATGTTTTGCCGCGATATTGGGCTATCGTCTGCTATTGTGTATAAATACAGACCCTCCGAGCGCTTAGTATCATTCCTTCGTGGCTGATTTGTTTACAGGTTGACTAAAAGAAGAAAGAAGTGGAAAAGAGATGGAAACCTTATTTAATGAAGAGCTTTTCATCATACCCGGTATTGCAGTTGAACATCATGTGATTGTTAGGAGACTAGACAATGGGGAGGAAATATCAAGATTCAATATGATGAGGATCCAATTCAACACAGAGCTACAGAGTACGACCAGGAGGGCGCACCCTTATACTAGGATAAGACAAAGGAAAAGAGGAGGGGCCCCAAAACGACCCGCCCCCACCACCCCTGCCCAGACCTGCTGCTCCCACCCCACAAACCAGAGCCAGGAATCAGGGGAGAATTCCCACCTGGGGCTTCCCGGGTCCCGACGCAGACCATTTTTTGCAGTTTGTGCATGACACTGAAGAGGAGGAGAACAACTACTGCTGTAGCCGTTGCATACAGCGACCTTCATGCCTTTTTTTGTTCAGCCCGTGTGATTGATGGCCTGCCCCCTCTGTAGTAACCAACACCGTCTCTTGGTCCCTCTATCCCAGAGAGCGGAATTTGACAGAGAGAGTTCTTCGGATGAAGAAGATGACCAAAACATAGGGACCATGGTCCAACAGCTCCTGGCCGCTAGGGATCTACCACCACTCCCGCCTTGAAAACAAAATTCCGAAAAAAAAACAAAAAAAAAAACCAAAAAAAAAATTTAAAAAAAGGCCCTTTTAAGGACAGCCCAATTGTTTAGAAAAGATGCTTTACTTTACAGTGGCTAAACAGAAACGTGTTGTGTGTCTTAGAAAAAAAGATGATCTTTTTTTTTTCAAAATACAGTGAAAGAAAAGATTGTATCTTAGAAAAAGATGATGATCTTTTTTATACAGTCAAAAGAAATGAAACTTTTGTGTGTGTGTGTGTTCAAAAAGAATACCCTTCTTATATACAGTGGGTAAACAAAGAAAAAGAGTACCTTATACAGTCAAAACAAGAAACGTGTATGTTTCTCAAGTTATAACACCAGGTCCCTTTTTTTAAAAACTTATAAATTTTTTAAAAACTTTTTAAAAATTAACTTTAACTTTTTTTAAAATTTTAAATTTTTAATAATAATAATAATAATAATAAAAAAAACACAGAAGTCCCTTTTTTTAAAAAAATAAATTCACATAAATCACACATTTTCAATTTTTTTTTTATTTTTTCATCAAAAACAAACAATAACACATACATACACTTTGTGAACTGTGAATGAAGAATGTACACCTGTTTTTGTCATAAGTGTGTACAAATTGTTTTCAATATTTAAAAAAAAATTTTGTTCAGGTAAATCTACAATCTCTTGGAACTAATTCTTTGTTTCTCACTTCAGATTTAAGAACCCCATATTCTTCATAGTCACCTTGTCTATAAAAGGTTCTTTTCAATTCTGGGGTGCTGTGAGACATATCAAAACAAGTTAACCCATGAATCTTTTTGTACATGTATCTCTCATGACAGCTATATTTCATTTGAATGAATCCTCTCACATGATGAAATTTTCCAGTTTCTGGATGCCTTTCTTTTTGTAAGATCCAGTATTGATAATCACTTCTAAGGATTTGATCTACATCTTCCTGTCTGCACCCGGTTAAATCAAATATCCAATTATTCGCTATTCTACCTCTGTCTTGTTTTAACTTAGCAATATGCCCATTGCGTATTTTCTTTCTGTTTGTTTTGATAATGAGTCTTAATATCTTCCAAGCGTTGAGTGTTGACTTCTTTCATTATTTGTGGACTCTTCTCCTCTGTGGGTTTAAAATCCAGTGGCTTTGTCAATCTTTTTTCTATAACTTTAACTTTTTTTTATTTTAACTTTAAATTTTTTAACTTTTTAACTTTTAATAATAATAATAATAAATATGGAAAAGAAAAAAAACACAGAAGCCCCTTTTTAAATAAATTCCTATAAAACACATAGACACATTTTTAAATTTTTTTTTTTTTCATTAAAACAACAACAATAACATACACTTAATGTTGATGAAGAATGTACACCTGTTTGTCATAAGCGTGTACAAATTGTTCTCTATAATGTCCAAGGGTATTCTTACATAAGTCTGGTAAGGTAAATTTCCCCATTTCTTGTAAACAAGCTTGAAACCATTTCTCTGTCTGTTTTCTTCTGTGTCCTGATAAGTGGAAATTCTTTTAGGTCTGTGACTTGCTCTTCCATAATGAGTAATAAAGGGTTTGTGATATTCCTGGATTGGCTAAATTTTTAGATCCAAGAGGTCTGCGTATGAGATGGGAATTTCTTGCATTACTTTGACTCAATCCATCCTGTTTAAGTAACAATTCAGACTGTTGGTCCTTCCTTTTTATCTAGTGTTCTGACTCATTTCTTTGCTGAAAGATCCTTGTTCAACAACAACAATTACAACTTTTAAGCCAGAATCCACAACTGCAGAAGTGTGTTTGTACCATGTTTACTATTTCATACATGCAACCAGCAAACAGAGGAAAAGGATGTTTTCATGAGTATCTATTTTTTTATACCCCCATTCTTTAAACCCCTACTACACAGGTTTTGTTTTGTGTAGGCCTACGTTTTTTATGCTACCTGCACAGGTAATACTAATCTATGGTTAAAGGGAATGTGATAACCTACGCATTCATTATAGTCTAAGCCTAACCAGTTTGAACTGTATTTTTTACTGAAACCACGATTTTTTTTTCATTCTTTATTTGTAACAACAAACAACAACAAACAACAACAAACAACAACTCATTTACAATACATTTTGATAAAAACATTGACACTTTTGTCCATGACCCGTAGGTAATTTATGATAAGTGTTTTTAAACCAATTCGCCACGTATCTATCCCTTTGTAAAGCCGTACTCTGGTCAAAGGGGAATAACCACTTGTCGGTTTTCTTTCTTTTCTTGTCTCTTTGATGTAAATAATACACGCAATATTGTCCACACACATCGGTATTCCAGTCTTGATAGTGATACGGATTATAAATCCATTGCTGAGCATGACGCTGGATAAAATCTTGAATTTCTTTTTGTAAGGGAGGAAATCCATAAGAATCGAAATATTCCACCACGGGATTGCTCACATACAGACAAACCCAATGTTCTCCAGGTCGATCTTGAGGATCTGTATTGACCACGATGGCTTTTTCTCCCAGGTCTTAATTGATTCGGTAATAAATCTACAGGATACACACCCCCAAAAGAACTTTTGAATTCTCTGGATAAACTTCTCTCAATTGTCCCGTATCCATTAGTAATCAATGCTCACTTCTCTTTGTTTGTTAATTTCTAATAGGTTATCGAATTCTGCATACACCACACAATTGATGGTGTTAGGCGTATTGTTGGTACACTGCACTTCTACTCTAGGATTTTTCCTGTTTCTATGAGATGGAATTTATCCGATTGCGCTTCTTGATTTTTGGTGAAATCTTAACACCATAGAGTGAAGCCGCTTTTATACTTTTCTAGGGTAATGTCTGGAGCCCAATCTTCTACTAATTTTCCCAGGGCTTGATACAGACTGAGATAAGATCTCAGATATAAATCGTCGTTGAAATTAGGTTCAAAACAACGATTACTCATGGTCTCTCCGTTGATACTGACATCTAATTTCTTAATCCCAAAGTTTTGGAAATGAAAGGGATTTTTTGTTTTATCTCCGTTAAAGGCCGCATTCTCCACAAAGCCTAAAATGAGACGTTTAGGCATCTGGCCTTGAAACAGATGATCTGTAATCTTAGACTGAGTTCCTGTGGGGATGGTAAAGGTTTTCACTTCCACTCTTCTCAAGGGATATTTGGCTCTGTGAGTATTCAGATTTTGATTGATTTGATTCATCAAAGTAGGGGCAGGTTTGATTTTTCTCACCCACAAGACCATACTCAAAATCTTGATTTTTCCCGTATTGGCTTGACCAGTCATCAGGTAGAAAGCAGGTCTAGCTCGATTAAATCGCAAACGGACGTCCACTCCATTAGGTAGAAATCGATCTTGTTGAAACAAATCCAGATGTAAACGATCCAGCAAAGTGATTTTCTTACTCCCAGCAATAGCTTGGTTTCTTTTTCTGAATCCTTCGTTTTTAGAATTGTCCGGGTACTCTGTGAGGATGGGTTTGCTAATGGTCACACTGCCATCTTGAGCGGCAGCTAGCAGCTGCGCCGGAAACTCCCAGAGCCTCTAATCCCACTTCGTCCATATGTCCTGCCGTATCTTTTTCCCATAGACTACAGGCTTTCATCTGTGTGTTTAAAGTTCTGGGTTGGTAAGAGAGTAATTTCTCCAGATACGCTTTGTAAGGATAAGTATCCGTCCCCGGGGTCACTATTTTTCCATTCAGACTGACATTGATTTCCGTAAACATGGAATGTAAGATATTATTCACCGGAGCTATTTTAGCCGCATCTCCAGCCAGAGCACTTCCATCATTTTGAGTAAATTGACAGACCATTTGAAGATAAGTTTGAGATAAATCCAGATATTGGTCTCCTTGTCCTTTAATTTCAAATTCGATGGGAGCCGTGTCGGAATCTATAGTACTGGAAATAGGGTAATATTCTTCCCATTTCGACTCTTCTAAAGCAATGTTGGTGGGAGGGACTTGGAACAATTCTAAATTGTTCATCCCACACGCACAGGAATCGGGCTGTAACATGATGTGTCTACTAGGATTCAGTTTTCACAAATGAACCTTCTGTTCACTGGACTGTCCTATTTATTCTCTCTCTCTCTCTCTCAGTCAAACACATCTAAGGTCCTTTTTTTTCTTGGCTCTTCCTCCACCTCCTTGTTTTTTCTTTTTTCTCTTAGGACCTCCTCGGGCTAACAGGACTTTCCCTGTAGGTTTTCTTCTTCTTCTTAATTGAATGAACCTTCCCGATCCCTTCTGGGTTTTTTTCAATGACTTTTTTCTTTTCTTAGTCTCTCCTAAATTCATTCTTTGTGTCACCATTCCCGAAGTATTTTTCAATGTCTTCTTTCTTTTCTTAGTACCTCCTAGATTCACTCCAGCCATGTTGGCCTGTTTTGAAGTATCTTTCAAATCTCGTATTCCTTTTTGTCTCCCAGGCCTTTCTGAAGATATCTTATTTTCTAACACGGGTCTAACCCCGTATGTGAAAGTTAAGGCCATGTTTAGCTCCCGTTTTCAGTAAATTGCCTCCTTTTTGACCTTTTTGAGGATGATGGACCGCGTGGTTGGAGTTAAACCTAGGGGTAAGTGGATAATAATAAGCGGTTTCCTCCTGGTGGGGGTTTTGTGATTTTTAAAATTCTACTCAATAATCCTCCTACTAAATTCTTCAGGATGGGAGCCGCAAAACTATAACAAACCGGTCCTTTTTGACCAAATACCAGAGATGATAACCGGCTATTCCGTGTCCTTTTTGACGTAATAAACCTTTATGATAAGCCGTGTCCTGTCTGTCTCAGTAATCCTGAATGATACTGCATGGTTCATAACTCGGGTGAAACTGACCTTTCTGTCCTCGGGGGACTTCCTTTTATACTCTTTAGGGTTGAATACACTACAGACAGCAGACCAGACAAGCCATCACGCCCAATAAGATGGAACATAATAAGGGTACACTCATCTCAGTAAATTTTTCTGAAATGAAGTTTCACGATGGATTTGCCACTTAAAAAAGGCATGGGGTGTCCTAAAGGAGTCATGATGTGAATCTCAATAGTATCGAAATGTATTTTATTCAAAAGGACATATTCCGCTCGAATTGGTTCCCATTTACATTGTTTTTCTTTGTCCTCAAAATGACAAGGCACCACTCTTAAGAGTTTCAAGGCATTGGAGCCTACGGTCTGGGGTTGAATGGAATCACAATACACATACATGGATTTTAAATTCCGGTATAAATCGGCCGTGTCCGGAGCCATGTAACTGATGTTGATCCATTTGGTGGTGTTTTCTGTCCAATTTTCGGGCACCAATTTGCGACCGTGGTAGCCTAATTTATAAGCCAGACTTAAAGGAAACCGTATAAAGATTGGAATTTGACATAATTCACTCGATCGAAATTCTTCCTATAGTTCAATTTCATCTCGGTTTTAGGGGGATTTTCTTCTTCGGCTTTCAGACCTTGTAGAATTTTCTTTAAAGGGGCTGATAAACTTTCATACACCTCATCTCCGGCTACCATGATCAACGCACTTCTTGGATTCCTGGTCTTGGGGGCTGTCCTGCTCTTCATATTTTTTCCAGATGGTTTTCAGACACCTTTCTATACCTTCATTGATTTCGGCTAGAAGAGCTGTAGGATTGGCATAAGGTCCTGGTCTAAATTTGAGGCGATACAAATTGAGTGTCTCTTTGGGATCATAAGTTCCATTCAACCAATACGCTTGTCTCCATTCCACTAACAACTGAGTATCGGCAAAGGTGATGGGATCACCTTTCCAATGTTGAAATCTTCCCCATTGATACTTATCCAGGTGCTCCAGATCTAGTTTTCCCCCTGGGGAAATGTTTTCAAAAAAGGGGGGAATTTTATCCACTAGACATTTGTCCAGATAAGCTTCTTCTTCACTGATATTTTCGATACTACAAGGATAGATCATTTCCGTCAAAGCCACTTCCCATTGACCGTCCGTTAAATCTAAGGATTGAGGTAATAAGGTTTTAAATTGAGCCGCCGTATTGCTAGAAAAAGAGGTCATAGACCCATCACTGGGTAAAGTCATGTAAAACCCACTGCTCTCAGCCATGTTCAATCTAAGACTGAGACCCTAGACCTTAGAACCTTTGTATTTATAACAACACTTTTTTAAAAAAAAGTGTTGTTATAAATACAAAAGTTAAATAAATTTATTTAATGATTTACAATTCTATTTCTTCTTCTTCATCTTCTGATCGGTCCTCAATCACTCGAGTCAACAAAAGTCCTTTGTTTTCCATCGACTCTTTAATCTGGGCAAAGGGGATGCGACAATACACGTACTGCCTAACGCCGTGATAATCTTGGAAAAGTCAGTTCTTTTTTCTCCATCTTGAAAAAAAATGTTTCACACAGTCTCTGATGTCCGAGTACCAAAGGTTTTCATTCAGTACCGTGTTCACAGGTGTCCCATCTTTCATAGAATGTTGAGTACAGGTGACCCATTTGTATTGCTGATAATGTTGGTTGATTTTCACCCTCACTCTAGGTCCTCGAAGAGATGGGATTTTCACTCTTTTTTCCAACCACACATTGTCCAGGGAATATCCTGGATGATGTTCAAAGAAATCCATGATGGCTCCTATTTTAGTTTCATCCATCATCCTCCTTGCATGTACATGAACTGAGTGAAGGGACTCTCACAATACTAAAGATACTGCATCTTTGGGAAACAAAACACGTCTGACTTTGATCAGTGTCCTTTTTCAGAATGATACAATGAGCGCAGGGTATTCCCAGCTCCACTTTATATACCTTTACTGTAAGGGCCGTGTGCAAAAAACATACGATAGACCTACGTTTTTTATGCTGACTACACAGGTAAATACTTGGCACCGATTCAAATCCGTGTTTGTGACGTCATCCTTACAAACCTAGTGAATAGAGAGCGCTTAGTTGTGTGTGTGTATATAGGGAAATAACTAACAACACTAGAATTTTTTTTGGTTTCTTTCTTTTATTTTATTGATTCATAACAATAAAACCAACAAGAACAAGAACAAGAACATCATAATAACAATCATTCAAAACTTTGGTTCAGTTCTTTTTGTATGGGAAACGATCTACTCATGTACAAATAGTCTGTTTCACAAGCACAGTCCATGATATCGTATCCTTTTAGGACCACTTCTTTCAAATAGTCTTTTATACAATCTCCAGTTTTTTCCATCCATTTTCCTTGAATCCAAGTCTTCTCGGGTCCCTGTCTTCGGTGAACCAAGACGTAATTGACTTTCCATTTGAATTCTCCATATTTAGGTGACCTGGGTCCTATTAAGACCTTGTGTTTGCTTCTTTTGCGGTCCGGTAACTTGAATCTCTTATACAGGTAGATTTCATTGAGACCTGTTTGTCCTGGATTTTTATCAAAGAAATTTTGAATACATTTCTCTTTGTTTCTCATCCATTCTCCTTTGTGACTAGTCCCTTCAGGTTCTACTATTTTCCAACGATACTCTGAGCTTAAAAATTCAATGATGTGCCCTGTCCTTCACTCAAATCAGAAATGATCCTCTTAGGCTTTGGTTATCTCCTAATATATCCTAACTGGGTGAATTCGTCTTCTTGACCGTAGGGGTATGATGCATCATGGTAGGACTAGACATGATGTAACCCACCGAAGAACTCACACAGACCGTCCAATATTCTCGATTAGAATCGTGTAAAGCTAACATGACCACACTCGTGATTATGAGGGAAATACAAATGAATAATTGTGCAAAATACACAATTTCTTCTCGAGGAATATTCTCTCCTCAAAATTTCCAATGAGGTGTTATTTGATGAGATCCGTTTGTGGAATCCATGAATCGAAACTAGGGGGATATCCTTTCCACCGGACTTTGACTTCTTGAATGATTTTTTTCCCGACTCGTCGCTTTTTATACCCCAAGATTTCCTCCACTTCCTACACGTCGTCTTTTTTAATGATCTGTTGTAATTCTTTGTAGTAAAAAGTCCCTTCTAATTCCTCTTGGTTGTAATCTTGTACTCGATACACGTAAGGATACCGACCGGGGACTCGTTGAGCAATGGTAAATATTTCCGTGGTCCAGTTCGGTAAATATCCTTTTTCAAAAGTGCGTTTAGCTTTACTGATGCGCACCTTATCTCCTGTTTTAAACTTGGGGGGTTTTTGTTTACGTGATGATTCCCCATATAAAGTTTTCCAGACTTTTAACACATTCGAGGGTTTTACTTGAGCTGGAGCTCTTTGGATACTGCGATGATAGGTATGATTGTAAGCATACACTAAATCCGGTAAGACCTCTAAATACCGTCTGGTTTTATTCCGAGTGAAATACCGCCACATGCGTGCTTTGTGGGTTCTCTGAAATCGTTCCACGATACTGGCTTTGGTGTCCGTATTGCGAGTGGTAAAGAAATGAATGGATTTAAACGCCTGTAAGAATTCTCGATTGGTAAATTCTTTGCCTTGATCCGATTGAATGCGGAAGGGACGTCGATCGTCTTGTCGGAAAATCTCTTGTAATCCTCGAATCATTTCTTACCCGTTTTCTGTTTTAAAGGCACCACCCATGCGTATTTAGATAAGACGTCAATGGCACACAATAAAAACGTATACCCGTCATTATGTTTCTTTAAACTGGACACATTGGCTAAATCTAATTGCCATTGTTCGTCTATATCCGTCACTCTCGTCTGTTGTCTCCGGAATTTTCGATGAATGGGTTTATGTAAGGTATAGGTATCTTGCTCTTTTAACCATTCTCGTATGGTGTTTAAAGAAATCTTATGTCCCAGACTTTTGACCTGACGATACAAAGTCTGTATGCCTCCATATCCTCTCTTGGGATCGTAATAAATCTCTTTTAAAATGTCTTCCACTTTCTTCTTCTTCTTCTTCTTCTTCTTCTTCTCCTTCGTTTCTCAGGCAAAGGAAGCCAATTTTCGTCGATTTGTTGTAATTTCTTCTTCTTCTTGGCTTCTTCTTGGGCTTTTAATTGCTTACTGGCTCGATAGGGACTATATTTATGTAAAGAAAAAGGAGACTTGCCATCTACTATTTGACGTCTTCGGCAGAAATAGGACCATTTAAAAATATTTTTGCTGTTGGGAAATCTACATTACATAAAGTGTGCGAGGCAATTATAAAATATCTGCTTGAATATAATAAATATTTTTTTCCAGTATAATGAAAAGGGTGGAAAAAATAAAACAGTGACCAATCTCAAAAATCTTTGAACAATACAAATATGTTAAAAAGAAAATAACACGAACCCCTGGACATTCATGATGAGATCATTTGCCATGGAATTTACTTCTGGATGCTCACTTTCACTAGTTTATTGAAATTCCTGCAACATTAACTTTCATATGAGTAGCTTGACTGAATTAAAAACAGAGAGGTAGAAGAAAGTCATCAAGAGCTTAACGGGTAATCGATTGATGGAATCCATGTTCCTATCATTGCTCCGGAACATTCCCAAGAAGAAAACTTGCA